AGGGAACGAGTAAACGAGAGGGTCTCGAGAATCCAAGCATGCTGAAAGTTAACAATAAACACCGAAAATTAAACTAAGTGATATTTGGAATATCGCGATAAATTGGTTATTTTATTTCCGTGAAGACGGCACACCTGCACGCATATATCGTCGATAGTGATGGGATAAAGTATACTGCGAGTCCGTTCGAGTATTTAATTGCAAAATTTCGAATTTCTCGCGAGTATTTAAAAAAAATAAAACTTTAAATTAAATATAAAAATTATCGATATTATTGAATTTCTATATTTTAAATTGTAAATTTGTAATTGAAGTCAAGGTTGAACCTCTGATTTTAATAACATTTTGATAATAAAATTATAAACTTATAATTGAAATCAAGCAAAATTGTTAAACTTTTGATTTCAATAACGTAGTAAAATTGTAAACTTATAATCGAAGTAAACCAAGTAAAATTACATCAAAGCAGTTTTCGAACAATTTGCGTAATAGAAATACTTTGTGAGCATAATATATTGGATTTAGTTGTTCAATACGCATTAAATTTGATCCTATTGTTAATAACTGCGCTTGATCCAACAACCGGAGAGTGGAGAAATTTTCAGAAAAACCAGTTTTATCTTGGGAAATAGAGGATGGTGTAGCATGCGAGATTGGGATACGTCAAGTTTTGCGTTATGTACTTGCGTTCGAAACTACTTCTGACGAAACTTTCGATAGAACATCGGTGTGGAATTTCTAATCGCACAGGGTCTGTTCTCGTCGTTAACGATGTTAACGTTGGAAACAACGAAGTGATTCGAAATCTAATGAAAGTAGTTTAAATTGTGGCGAATTTTTGCCCTTGTTTCAAATGAAATGATCAATTTGGAAATGAAATCATCGTGAAATATTTTATACTTTATTTCACTTTAGTGTTGTCTCAAATATTCGAGAAGATGATATTTATTTTACTTTTTTTATAAGTCTAATTTTAATAAAAAAATTTAATAGAAAAAATTTCTCTTTTAACACATTTCTTTTTAGAAATTTTGTCTAATATTAATGATAGTTTAAATTTTCAAAAATTTTAAAGTAAAAGAAAAATTAATAAGTTCTTTGCTAAATTAATGGAAGAATATCAATAAATATTATTTTCTATTATTGTTTTTAATATGTACAATCAAAAATTGTCATATTAACTGAAAAGAATTATTTTTTGCTAATAATAATTTTTTATTCGTTAAATTTGCAATTTCATAATAATAATCTGATTTCGTTTTAAAATATAATTTAATTTATTAATACAAAATCTTTAATGCCTCAAATATCTGTTAAATTTCTCCTCTTAATATTTTATCAAAATTCATATTATAAAATAAATTAATACGATGATCCAAATATATATATTCACAAACACGTATTAATACTGTTTTATCACGAAAAATACCAAAGCAAAACTATTCAACAACATAACTTTTATAACGTAACATTTTCATCTCTTAACATTCTACAAAAATTTACATTATAAATCATAATCCAATTGTAACATCAATAAACGGTCAATATTCTTCCTAGAACCTACGAAGAAAAATATCGAAGTAAGGCATTTTAAAATTCCATTCGTTAAATCTCTTTCCTATTTATAAAACACATCTAAAACTTCCATAACGTAACACTTTCATCTCTTAACATTCTAACAAAATTTATATTATAAATCATAACATATCTGAGTATACGTATCAATAAACAGTCAATATTTTTCCTAGAACTTAGCTCGACGAAGAAAAACACCAAAACAAGACATTTTTAAAATTCCATTCGTTAAATATCTCTTCTATTTATAAAACTTCCATCTTAACATCATCTAAAACTTCTATAACGTAACACTTTCGTCTCTTAACATTCTAGCAAAATTTATATTATAAATCATAATCAATAATAAATGGTCAATATTCTTCCTAGAACCTCGACGAAAAAAAATATCGAAGTAACATATGTATCGAATAAACATTACTTAACATTACATCAAAATTTATAAATCATAATCCAATTGTAACATACTCGAGTATACATATCAATAAACGATCAATATTCTTCCTGGAATCTACCTCGACAAAAATATCTAAACAAGAGATTTTAAATTATTCCATTTATTAAATCTCTCTCTTATTTATAAAACACATCATCCAAAACTTCCATAACAATTTCGTTTCTTATATTCTACAAAAATTTTATTATAATTATTATATAATCCAACTAACATATGTATCGAATAAACATTACTTAACATTACATCAAAATTTATATTATAAGTCATAATCCAATTTTAATATACTCGAGTATACATATCAATAAACGATCAATATTCTTCCTCGAATCTATCTCGACAAAAATACTTAAACAAGAGATTTTAAATTATTCCATTTATTAAATCTCTCTCTTATTTATAAAACACATCATCTAAAACTTCCACAATAATTTCGTTTCTTATATTCTACAAAAATATTATTAAAATTTATTATTAATTTTTTATATTCTTATATTCTACAAATATTTATAATTATTATATAATCCAACTAACATATGTATCGAATAAACATTATATCAAAATTTATATTATAAATCATAATCCAATTGTAACATACTCGAGTATACGTATCAATAAACGGTCAATATTCCTGAGAACCTATCTCGACGAAGAAAAACATGGAAGCGAGGCATTTTAAAATTCCACTCCCGCGGTTGGAAGCGAGTGGCGGTGGGCTCGCGTGCATGCCTCGCGCGCGGATAGGAGCGTGCAGGAGCGCGCGATATTCGTGACACATCCCACGTGCTTGCATTCCCTCATCCTATCCACTAGATCCCACGGGATTTATTTTAGGATCGGCACGATGGAGGCGTGGGTTTTCACAAGCAGCGGCGGCGAAGCGAGGCCCAGTGAATCCGCGGCTGGCTCGTAAGCGAGTCGCACGAGGGGCGCGCGATGTCTCAACTTCGATAATCATCGATAGAACGATCGATCGATCGATCCAACGAACGAACGAACGAACGAACAAACTTGTTCTCGCGTCTTGAGTTTCGAGGACGATTTTTAATTCTTTCCATATCGTTTGAATTCGTTAGGGTTCGTTTTAAGATTTGTCCTTCTTTTGGGAGGGAGAAATGGTTTATGTAATTTAATGGAGAATATATTACATATTTTTCGTGAATTTTTGATTTAATTTTTGGTAAGAGTTTGCAAAAAGAAAAGTTTGACAAGTCGTGTTTTGAAATTTTTTTTTCTAAGACAGGTTGCTTTAATATTTTTAATTTTAATTTTTTTCTTTTTTGGAAAAGGGAATTTGATAATATAAAAATTATATTTTGTCATTTTTAAATTGGAAATTTATATATCTTGAGACTTGACGAGTTCTTTTCTCCTTTTTGAGTTTGATGTATTAAAGCACTTGTTTTCAAGATGTTAAAAATGGAAAATAAACAAAGATGGGCTTGTCAAAGCTTCCTCTAGACTAAAAGATCTTCGTGTTCTATTTAATAGGTGATACAATCTCCGATTGTGAACTAGGTCAGAATTACGTTTCAACGTTTCTAGGTCTATCTATTCTCGATTTATTCTAAATATGGCATAGCGAAATGCTTCTGGGGCCTAGTGAAAAAATGAAAAAGTAATTGACAGTCTGTTCCTTCCGGTCGTATTCCTTCAAAGCGTTGAATAATATACACGCAATAACGATTGACACATATTTCCCGTTATATGTATTGTAAAATCTGTATTCATAGACGAGAAACATATTTTAGGTTACCTTTGTTCTTGGCAATGAACGCGTTGACGACCGTTCCCTATTTTCATCAAAATAATCTTACCTTCAATACTCTTCACAACTATTAAAAACTTCATTCCAATAAATAAAATCGTACTTAAACGATCTTTTACCATATATCACACTAAATGATAAAAAATATACACTTTTAGAAATTTACATTCAAATAAAGAGAGACAGAGTGAAAATAGCTCCACATCTCTCTCACATCTTCCATCCCATTTCGTTCAAAAACTAAAATCTAATAACTTAATTTTAGAATCTTCAAGAACATCATATCAATCATTACCTACTTTTATAACTCTACGTTAAATTAATTTCGTACCTAACTACTTTTGTACCTATTCCTCTCCATTCCTCGAAGACTAGTCTACTCTCACTCGTCGACCAACGTTTCCAACTCCCCAACCGTGACGTTCACCTGGCCGTTTGTCAAGAATCGACGAGCGTATTGGCCCAAGCGACGAGTTTTTCATTTGGACCAACTGCATCTTCCAAGATATTTCGAGACGCGTACATCGAGTGTCGCTCTCGATGGAAACCGGGACACCTTCATCTTCCTCTTTACCAGTTCAAACTGCCACGACCAAACAGCGCGAGAAGGGAACCTTGTGAAAAACTCTTCCCTCCTCCTCCTCCTCCTCCTCCACTCTTCATCTTTTCGTTTATTGATCTTCCACCAAGATCGGCCTCCTGTTGTTCCTCCCTGTAATATTTGGTTAGCGAATCGGGGCTTCCATTCCTGGAAGCCTGCGTGGGCAGAGATGGACAAGAATTTCAACGGTACGAGTTAAGAATAATGTCGACTTCGACATAAATTAAACTCGCGCAATTCGTTACTCGAAGCTACTTAAACTCGATCGAGATTGTATCAACTATAAACAACTACGAATAAGTATTATTTTATTAAAAAAAAAAAAAAATCTATATAACATAAATGATTATAATTAAATTAATATACGTCGTGAAAATACATTTCTATCTCAATAATCGATAAAAGGAAAAATATACGAAATCCGTTAACTTAATTTTCATAACTTAAACCCGTAACATTATTTCAGATTATTTAACCAATTAATTTTTCAACCTGTTAGCGTCCAACTCTGGGTGGTATTGAACGAGAGAGAGAGAGAGAGAGAGAGAGAGAGAGAGAGAGAGAGAGAGAGAGAGAGGAGGGATAGGGATTTTTGGTGGGCAGCCCCGCTGGAAAAATCTCGATGGCGAGCGCGATTTCACGCGCGATTATTTATAACCGGGTGCTTGTAAACACGCGTACTTTGGCGTCGGCCGCGAACCGCCCGCCATTTCTTCGCCAGTTACCGATGCACAAACGAACGGTGAACGTTGCTCCACCGTTTCTTGCCAGACGTCTATTTCGATGGCAGCTCGCTGGTATAGCGGTCACTTCGATTCGCTCGTGATCGAATTCTCCTCGAATTCTCAGTTGGATTAGTGAAAGAATCGCTAACTGGCTTTCGTTCGCGAGTGGTTTCGTGATAGTAGTGAAAAATTGATCGGAGAAGTGAATCGTATCCAGTGTGGAACGATTAGAAAATAAATTCATTGTGTACAAAGAAGGTCCTGTAATCGTTTCCTTAAATTTTACTTTTATTCTTAATATTAAAAATTTCGAATTTAATAGGAGGAAAAGAAATAAAATTAGAAGAACGAAAACTTTTTCTTATAATCGAAAAGAAATTGTTTAACGTAAGAGTAAGAGAGTTTAGAAAGGAAAAAAAAGAAAAGGAAAGAACTCGGATAAATAAATTTTCTTTTTCTGCCATGCTCCGCCATTAGACCGTCGCACCGGCCCACATTATTCTCACGTAGAAGTCGCGTTACCCGTTTTTTCAAGAGGCGACAAGCATCTCTCCATACGTTTCGAAGCTCGTCCCACTCGGTGAGTCGACACGTCACGGTGGAGAAAGAACTGGGAGGGCGTGAATCCGTGAATGTTAAACGCGAGCGCAGCATAAAACGGAACACGGGAGGATGGTACGAGACCGTTTCGGAAAAAGATCCCAAAGCCAAACTCGATTCTGACAGATTGCCAAGCGTCTGAGGTCGCGGTTACGCAAGAGAGACGTTAACTCGTTCGATCCACGATTCGAACAATAATAATCCACGATCGCGGAGCGGATATCATGCTGGTGGCCGTGTCTGCAAGAGATTCGTATAAATTGGATAAACGGATCTGTGGACGGATATGGAACGAACGATGATTCGATTCTTCTGATACGTTGGCGGTCGATCGATGATTAATCGCGATGGGATTAGAGTAAACTCGGCACCGTGTGGACTCAGTGATTTTTCCACGGTGGGGTTATTGTTTATTTTTTTATTTTTTATTATTTTTTTTTTTTTCGTTTCGAAAATATATATTTTCAACGTTGGAAGAAACGGGTCTAATTTAACGCGACTCGAAGGGAAAAGGGGGGAAATGTTGGAGAGCGAAGAGAGAAGCGAGAGAATGAGAATATTTGGATATTTTTTTCTCGGGAAACACTTTTGCTTTAAGTGAAAATATTTTCTCGTTTTAATATTTGCAAGTTTGGATTTATTTCAAAGTAATTTAAAAGGAAAAGGAGAAAGAAGCGAGTGGGAAGAATATTTTTCTCGACGAATTGGAAATTTTGATTTTTATAAAATGGGAAAATAAACGCTTGATTGTAAAGTAATTTGAAAGTGAAAAATTGGAAAAGTGAATACATTGGAATACGTTTATCGAAAATTGTGAAATAAATGTTTACTTATAATTTAAAAATAAATTCTTAAAGTGGCCAATAAAGTGAACTTGACTTGATATTATAATAATTTTAGAGCGAGAAAAGAAATAAAATGAATAGTAAAAACTGAATGAATTTCCATTATTCGTTTGAGAGGACTAACAACAATTTTGAAATTTTCATGGTAAATAAACGTCGTATTAACATCGTACGAGAACAAAACACCTTCTTAATATATTTTTCGATATTTCCAAATATTTACGTTTCACGGTGGAAAGAAATATCGACACGAATAAATTTCTAAATGAATATCTCAATGTTGATATTCGCTTTCGAGTTATGGAAGTACCTTTCACGCGTGTTTTCAAATCAAACCTCGCATTTGAATATAATGGCGAAGATGATTCTTATCATCCTAAAGTTTAAACGTCGAACTGCTGATCGCAAAGTTTAAATCGTTCAAAATCATTTAATCACGCACAATATAAAAAGTTTTACTTTTCGAAACTTACTTTTCGAAACTCAGGATCGTATATAAACTTTGTACAAATACAACTTTGTACAAGAAAACTGTATTTCAAAATATTAACCAAAGAACCGCGCATTCCTCCCAAATTATTTCCAAGAAGAAAATCGAAAACCAGTTTCATCGAAAAACGAACGCGCCGACCCTCCTCTCACTCGACAACAATTTATATACACAAAATAACGCGAGTATACAGCATCGCGTTTAAAACCTCGACCAAATCGAACGATCAAACGATAAAAACTAACTAAATTTCCACGATCACCTTTTCTCCCTTTTTAAAAATCGCCCGATAACGCTTATTCACGAGTAATAAATCGATCCAAAAAGCCAAAAAAAAAAACCAAACTTTTCTGCGAAATCGTTAAGAATTCGCCAAAAAGGGAGGTGATCGAACCTCTGAAAGAAGAAGAAGAAGAAGAAGAAGAAGAAGAAGAAGAAGGACGGCTCGAGAACCGGAAACATGAAGAACGGTCACCCGATTATAACAGCGACGTCGTCGTCGAGCCTGGTCAATCCGGATTCCACGTCCTCGAACGAACCTACGGAACCGATCATCAGATTGAAGCTGGACAAGCCGTTGAACTGGGAGTGGGAGCTGACCACGTCCGCGGACACGCTTCCTGTCATCCAGCTGTTGGACAAGGATGGCCGCGTTCTGGTCGAGACCAGTGGGCGCACGGCCCAGCGGGCCAGGGGCTCGTTTCGAGAGGGCCTCAAGTCGCACGAGGAGTTCCAGACGAGCGAGGGACAGTCCTCCAAGCTTTCCTCCTCTTTCGCGTCCTCCTCTTTCGCGTCCAGCCCTCCGCCGCCTGCCCCCGTCCAACAGGGGAACAGGAACGTGGACGGGTTCAGCAGCAAGTTTGGCACCTTCCAGTTCGGTTACAAGCCTACGAAATCGAGGAGCGAGGTATCGGTGAAGGAGAGGGATAAGAAGGGGGGGAGGAGGAAGGATCGAAGATCGGAGGAGCGGAGAGATTCGAGCAAGTACTCCATGGGCGATTACCTGAGGCAACAGATCATAGACGATCTCGGGAGGAGGGACACGTCGGGCAAGAGTGCCGAGGAGATCGCGAGAGAGAGGTGCAAGAAGGTGAAGGCTTACCTGAGGAGTCGAAGCGAGACGCTGCCGAGCCTGGTCCACGTGGAGGAGCAGGAGGAGGAGGAGGAGGAGGAGGAACACCCGAGGAACGAGGCTCGTCGTCGTCGTCGTCGTCCGAGAGGCGAAGCCATCCCTCAGGAAGGGGAGGGGAGGTCGAGAACGGCGATGGAGGACAAGGTGAGGGGCAACGCGTCGCCCGTCGAAATTTTAGAACGGAGGGAGGGCGACGAAGCTGGGAGCGAGGGGAAGAAGGAGGAGGAATTGGAGAGGGTAAGATCGTTCCTACGAAGGAAGATACAGGAGAGGATGGAGTTGGAACGATCGACGGTTCGGAAGAGGTACTCGTGTTACGGCGAGGCGGAGGAGCAGGGGGGTTATCGCACTCGAAAGGTGCGGAGCGAGACGAGCGTGATCAGGTTCGATCGGGAAATTGTGGAGAGGGACAGGCAGAAAGGGAGGCAGATGGAGAGATGGTCAACGAGGGACAACAACGGGTCTCGTTGTTCCAGGGATAAGTCTAGGCAAAAAGCGTACGGACGTTCGAGGAGCGAGACGATCCTCGAGGCGGCGGGAAAGGGCGGCGGTCGACAACTGAGCTTCGAGACGAGGAGGGACTCGGCCGAGAAACGGAAGCCGTACCGAAAGACTAGGAGCGACGCGTTGGTGGGTGGCAGGAGCGCGGACTCGGAGCAGGAGGGGGATCGTTGGAGGGTGGTGGCGAGGAGGAGGCAGGACACGGCGGTGATGGACGAGACGTGGCGCGAGTACAAGGAGAGGAAGAAGAACGAGAGGTTGCGTCGCGACGCGGAGGGGGTGAAGGAAGAAGAGGACGTTGAAACCGATCTATGCACTTTCCACGATTGCAAGATCTGTCAGAATCTGAGGGATTGCGTGGCGAATCGTGCGCAGATGAGAAATCTCGGGGGCGAGCATGGGAGGGGAGCAGGGGATGATCGCGAGGATTCCTCCGAGCTTCTGATCTCTCTGAACGATTCCGCGAACGAGGAAGGCCGAGCTGGTACCAGCACTCTTGGGGAGAACTGTCCGCTCGTCGTCGGCAACGAGGTCGATGCCTCCCCGACCAAGGATCACGTACTCGTCAAGGTTCGAGGGAAGAATCACTCGTCCAACGTGAATTCGCCTGATTGCGGTTACAATACGATTCCTAAGAAGACTTTTAACGATTACAAGGAATTGTACGCGAGATCGAACGTGAAGAAGAGCGACACGTTCAAGATCGTGGATGGAAGCGAGGGGATCGAGGAAGGTGTTGAGGAGGAGGAGGAAGAGGAGGAGGAGGAGGAGGAGGGGGAGGTCGTTGGGGATGGATCGATCGACAGTTTCGATTATTCGAACGGCGAGGGTGTGTTGACGAACAAGTCGAACGAGGATATCGCGAGGGATTACTTTAAAAGGGTGTACGAGTTGCTGAAGAGACGGCAGAGGGAGGCGAGGAGGGTCGCGGAGAAGCAGGAAGTGGCGGGACGCGATGATTCGTCGTCGTCTAATTACGCGGAGAAGGTGCAAAAGAGGAGACCGCGGCGAAAGAAAAAGGAACGGGGCACGCAAGGTAAGAAACGAGAACTTTCATGTTTTGTTCTTGTCTGCTTTTGGAATGCAAAGATGCGTTCTGCTTTTTTCGAACGATTCCACGTAGTGGAAGTAATTATAATAGATTTCTTTCTCCTCGTTTTCCCAAGGAACACTCGTCTAATTGCGAAATTAATTGCTTAATCGCGCGATGAAATTGACGAGTGATAATTAATACGAACAATTTTTTCGTATAATATTTCGTATAAATGTTATGTATCAACGTTATATCAATTCCACGTATCGTTTATCTTATCAAGATATTTCTTTTCTATAGAATGTCACGAAATAATACGAATAATTACAGTAGTAGTATTTATTAGAATTATATTTTATAGGATCAATTAATAATTTCATCTAGACACACCTAATACTAATTCACGATTCTAATTCACGTAATCGAACTTGTATTCACGCCTCGAATATTTCGCACAATAGCTATTCCTAAAACCCTCGACTAATTACGCAAGCTAATTGAAAAGGAAACACGGTCGTTCAAAGAAACGGCATCATTAAGATATCTACTTCGCCGAGACACATTTCTTCCTAATTGTACAAACAGATAGATATACATAAAGAGAGGATACAAAAGATTTCTCGCCCCATCGTCAAAATATTCTTAATCGTTAACACGTTAACAGAGACATTATTCTCTTAATGGAAAAACTTTAAGCAACTTTCGCCTCGTTTTTCAACCTGTTCTTGCTTTATTTACGGGTTTCCCGGAAATATACGCGTAATATCCCAGAAATATATTCACCGGTGACATTACGACGAAACTTTCGTGTTATCGAGGCTTGTTAAACATTATACGCACATTTTATCTTGAACAATGTCGTCACGAGGTCGAGAATGGACGCGGGAGAATTTTAGGAAAGGAAAAGAAGAGCGAAATAAACGCAGGTTCAATCGATGGCTCCCTCGTGTGTTCTTGCGCGGCAAATGCTGTAAATCCTTCTGGAATTCGCTTGGGATAATCTGATACAAACGGTGGTCGAGCTGGTATTAAGATTTCTTCTTCTTCTTTTTTTTTTTTTAAATAAAGGAAGAATAGAAAAAACGATTGAAGTTTGGATGATGTGAAAATCTGATCATTAATTCAAATGATGGGTGGTTTACTCTCGTTCGACGATTTGTCGAGTAATAATATTAATAAACGAACGATTCACGATTTTAGATTGTATTATATACCGTGAGGGAAGAATTTCAGGATTCCGTGTTTGACGAATCTGAAATGCAATAGCTTGATGGGATTGTCCGATTGAGATAAAAATTCCCCGTTCGAATTCGTAAAGAATATTGGACTTTATAAGAAATTTGTAGTAGAGATTTTATAAAATCATCGGTACAGGGATCGTATTCAATTAAAGATTAATTACGAAGTTATAACTTAATTTAATCTTCTGAGATTCAGGAATATTAATTACGTGATTGAATTACGAATTTATGAGATTAATGTTTGACCGAAGAAATATATATTAAAACGTAATTTAAATAATTTAATAATTCGTTCAAAGCAAGAAAAAGAAAATAAGAGAATTTTTTTAAGATCTTCTATCGGTTTATTCGGGAAAATTTATTAAATTTTATTATTGAATAATACGAGTTTGAATAATAAATGAGTGGGTATCATTGAAAATTTGGTCACGTCCACGTAGGTAGTTAGATATAGCGGGTGTTCAATTCTCATCGGAAATTGGATTACGCGCTCTTTGAAGCTTTTAGTGATTTCTCGAGCCGAGTATTTCAACCAAATGCCCAACGAAATAAAGGTCGGATTAAAGTGGCTTTTAAACGCTTGCTGACATTTCAGCTATCGTTCGATAACGTCGCAAACGAATTTGCAATCCGGGAATAAACCGAATAAGTCGGTGACTAATCAACGATACTTCGATTAATTCGATGGAAAGTAGCGCGATTAAAATTGTATCATTTCGAGACGACACGAAAGTTCGTTTTGTGGAGAGAGAGAGAGAGAGAGAGAGAGAGAGAAAAAGAACTTTTAATCATTTTAAAACTCGGAACAATTTTAGAAAAACATTTTTTACGAATTATTGTTTGAATTAAACAATTTCAAACTGTATTGGAAAAATATTGTTGCCAAATATTTATCTTTTTCCAGTTATCACGTACGAGTTTTATTAATAGATATTTAAAAAAAAAAAAAAATTGTGTAGAAAATACACAACATAGATAATAAAAATATGACGAAATTTAATTCTGAAATTTAACGATAAATTGATCGTTTATCGATAGTCGAAAGGATACTATTCGAATACTATTTACATAATTTTTATTAATTTACATAATTATCGAGATTTAATTCTGAAATTTGACGAAAAAATTGATCGTTTATCGATAGTCGAAAGAATATTCGAATACTATTTACATAATTTTTATTGATTTTTACATAATTATCGTTTTCTTTCGATAAGTTTGGCATATTTTTTTTTTAAGCAAATCTATATTAAATTCGTACAATCCTTCGTTAGGACACGCTATGAATTCAAATAATGGCTTTTTAGTCTGCAAATAGGCGCATAAAACAAAACTGCTGTGCATGCACTATTCTCCTTTGTTGAATAACCGTTTGTGAGCACGAAACGCAATCACGATAAGCTTCACTACGTGCGCACTATTACTTCATGATGAATGTGTATTATTTTTGGCGCTAACTGAACGTTAATCTCGTGTTGGTAGTAGTAATTAATAAACGGCATTTTTGTTTTTTTTTTTTTTTTTAAAGGAAGGCGCGAAAAGGAAAAAAAATGCGCTTTCACGACACGAAAATAAAATTCTTCGAGAAAATATTTGAAGTTAAATGAACTGGAAGAATTCGATTATCTTGCGAATATAATTCTTATAAATATTCCCCACGTGTTTTAAATTCTCTTAATCCTTTGCTGTAAAATTCAATCAAGGGAATCAATATTTAATAATTAATATTTAATAATTTTCGAAATTCTAAGATTCGTCTCAATTATCCTAGAAACCCAACTAGATTATAAAACAAAGGATTAAAAATTAAAAATCCTAACAAATTTAATAATTGTCTTGATAAATTATCATCGCGTTTTAGAAGATCATATTAGATACATATATTAACAGAAATATATACATTCCACGATTAAACCAATATTTCTATTTTAAACAAACTCTTTTCAAAAAAAGACTTTCAAAACTTATTTTATATTATTTAATAATCTGTCAATTTAAAATACATTCTCGATAAATTTACGAGAAAAAAATGTTCACGTCAAAGAATATTGGACTTGTTATTACCTAGAGTAAAATTGTCCCACATGCCTTTTTTTCTTTTCTTCTATTTTTCTAACGGAGCAGAGATATAGCCTGACCCAATTGCAAGACTCGTATTGCACACTTGCACCCATATATTTTCTCTTTCTCCCCTTTTACTCTGATCTCTCTCTCATTCAATTTAGACAAACAACACGAATATTTCCATAATACCCGTTCATTCAAAATTTTGAACAGCGTATTATTGGGCTCAACTCGAATTTCTCTCTTTAACTATCTACGATGCTTCTCTGTATCGCCATTGCGCCTCATTTATATATACCACAACCCTCATTCGTATCCACTACCCCCATTTGAACGCACGGAACGCGCGATTTCAAAGAAAATCAACACGGTGTCGCCCGCATCGATCAACTTAACCACCGTGAATTTAATTATATCCAGCTCGTATGCGTCGACGTATACTCAGGAGGATTTCACCAGGAGAAGAGGTGGGGCAAATATTTAATAACTCCATTTTGAAGGAGTATACGGGATCAATTATATTGCAAATAAGTTCGAATGTTCGAATCGATTCGTATCTTTGTAAGTATTTTGAAAAAAATAGTTGTAAAAAAAAAAAATAGAAACAGAAGAGAAAATGATTCGAAGTAGAGTTATGATTAACATAATCAATGATTCGTTATTTATTTGAAATTAATTATCTTGGATATTTTTAATTAATGTGGAAACTTGTAAGTAAGATTGGAAAACAGATTATGAGGATCGCTCAAATATTTGTGATTATTTTGCAGTTTCTTCTTGCAATATTATTGTGTTGTTGATAGAAGTAACTATTTAGCTTTCACTTGAATTTGTTAAATTAGTATCATCATTTGAAGAAGAAAACATTGTTGTTTCTTTTTTATAATCCATATGATACACTGTGCATTCGGAAGCAACCACTTTAATGTGATTTTAATTCCAAATCTTGTCTATAAATTAAATTCGGCTCAGATCTTTAAGTTATACGTTAAACTTGCATTAATTGCAAGAGAAGGAAATAATTATCGCGGAATAGAATCGATAGAATTTGATTTCGAGGGAGATAATTTTGATCAAAAGTCGTCTCTTCTTGGTGGAAGAACAGTAACACAGTTGGTCCTCGGTGACAGGCTTTCAGCTAAAAAGATTAGCGGCGCGCCTTCGACCAGGAAGTCTCGTGAAAATCAGCTGAAAGCTCTGCCGCGAATCTCTGTCTCTGAAGCGACTCCTCTTTTTCTTTCTCACTTGACTTTGGCCTTTTTTGCCTTGGGACGATCGTCAACTACTTCTGAAAATCTTTCAGAGGCCGAGATAATTGGTACTGTCTTCTTTCCCGACAAAGTTTTACACGAAACTGGGCTGCTACAAGCGATTCAGGAGAACAATGAGATTTTGTTTTGGTTTGACCGATCTTTTTTCTCCCCACTGCCTTTTGACAATTGAAAGTTGGTTTTTATCGAGGCGACGAGTTCAAAAGTTTGGAACTGAATGAATGGATAAAACGTGTGGGAAAATATATATACGCACGCAGAATAATATTCCATAAAAATAACAGAAATCGTAGACTGAAAGTCGAAGCGTTGTGATTTCTTTAATTCTTATTTTGATAATATCGTTCGTGAAAAAATAATAAATACAAATTAGAAGATTAGGTAAGAAAAGAAAAAAAAGTAAAAAGCTATGTTTTTTTAATCATCT